ATGAGACGAAAATCTGAAAAATTCATCTCAGATGAAATGAAGATGATTTTGCTTTTGGTTTATCTGGATGGAAGATAAGATAAGTAGAACTATTTATCTAGATACTTTTCTAGATGATATATTCATGAAAGACTTTATAAAAATTTATAATAAAAATTACGTAGATCATAAAATTGCACAACGGTTAAAGTAATTCGTCAACGTAATCGTCCTAAATTTAAGGATCTAACAAAAAAAAAATCAATAATCATTGATTGCTCACTCATCGCTGTGTTTTCTGAATGTAGTCGTTATTTTAGTCTTCTATAAAGCCCATATCAGACTACTAACTATGAAGGCCGATCTGACTGACGGTTATGATTGTCGACTCTTGAAGGACCTATCATGAAACGTCATGTAATTAGTCTATTGTAATTGGTTCATTAAGAGTTAGCAGTCGGGTCGACTTTCACAGTCGATAGTTTGATACGGGCTTAAAGTGGATCGACCAATTGAAACAAACGATGTTTTCTTTTTAGATGCACTGCTGAACTGGTGCAATAAGTTAAAGTGAGACAAGTATAATTTGTCTTGCTCTAACTCATTGTACCAGTTCAGTAGTGCAGTTAAAAAGACCAGCTCAAAGGAAACAAAACCGAAATTTGTTGATTCGTTGGAATTTAATCTCCAATCCCTAGTCTAATACGAGTTTAACGCTTAGATCCGTATCATTTCATTCATTTGATCGAAAAGTGAATTTTGAATATAGATCATAACATCATTTCAGACAGTTTTAGATAATATAACATGTTTTTTATCTAAGATGAATATATTTTATATTTCTTCCATCTAGATAAAGATAAAGATTACCTATTTATTCATTATTTAGATAATTTTATAATTATTTAGATAATCTGATCTAGATACCGACAAAATCTGATAGAGATATTCCGGCCGATGTCTCTGGTAAACACCGCGGTCCTATCTGTAGCGATAGGTCCCATTCGTGGCGTTCCTTCGCTTTTCCACGGTAAATAATTGGGCGTCGGCAACACACACTTAACACACACCTAACACACACTTTGCATACATGTCGCGTCCGAGAAAAACATCGTTTGCATCTCTCCGGCATCCGCTCGTATCGTACGTGCGCGTTCGCTTGCTCGCGTTTTCTCGCGGTAAATATGTTCGCACTCCCGCGGTATCTCATTATAAACGAGATCGGGCCCCCACCGTGCAGCGCGATAATTCACGATTTCGTGCGTCGCGGCGTGATTCACGTCCTCCCGGGAGGCGGAAGTCCGTGACTTTGACGCATCGGCAAGGGTTTGTCGCATGGGACACCGACTGTCAGCGTGTCTCCGCCTCGTGCAAGTCATCCGGATGCAAATTTATACGAGGTTTCTCGCGACACGGTACACACGCGCGTGCTTCGTTGCTGCTCCCTCGGCGCTCCCTAGCCCTATGCGCTAGAGAGTGTCGGCGATACAACCCGAAGGTATCGACACGTCGTAACGATGCGTATCGTGGACGAAAATATCGATATACAACATGTATCGGATTCGTCAGTACAATTCGATATATAACATGTATCGATACCGTCAACATCGATAATTGAATTGCATAAAAATATTGGATTAAAAGCAGGATTGGGAAAGTTATCGTTGAAAAGTAACGTTATAAAATTATTGAAAGACTAATTTATAACGGTGATAGCGTTACACGTGTTACTTTTTACAAGTAACTCTGATTAAAAGCTATGCTGTACACGTTACATGAATGTAATAATGTGAATGGCATGTAATGTTTAAATAATTACACTAAAATTATTTCCTAAATAGGAAAGAAAAATTTTTAATAAAATTTTATTTGTAAAATAAATTATATTATTTTGTATATTATGAGAGACGTATAATAATAATTTATAATTGCTCTATAAATGTGCAATCTCGTGCCTCATTTTGAAAAAAATGAACTGTTAACGAAATGTTAACGAAACGTCGGAAACAAATTCATGAGAGACGCGGCGTTAATTTGGAATACCAAATCAAGTATTTATAAATGTCAATCATTAATTAAGATGGCCTGCGACGGGGAAACAGGAGCCTCAAAAGCATCAAAATAGCATCATAATTTTGATTCGGCATGGTGCACAACTACTTTGCTTGTGATGCTGCTCATATTTTGTTGGAGATTGTAGATGAAAATGTTTTCGAACAATTCAATTCAAATGTCACGTAGATAAAAATGAATGTTCATCCAAATGAAAATTTGTATGAATGAAAATTCAAACCGAGAAATGGACGCGAAGGATATCGAAATAATGAGACTCGTTTCTTTCCGAACATACTTTAATCTGTGAATTTATTGCACATAATCTACGCGTGGCCGAATCGGTCGCTGAATCGGAATCATTTCCGTGGCAGTCGATCAAATCGATCCTGCGAGGGAAAAGTTGAATGAATCCCGATCTTTTACGGAAGACGTGCGGTGAAAACGGGATCGCTCGCAAAAAAAAAAAACGGACGCTCAGGTTTCCTGAGATACGCGCGCAAGCACGCGATCACAAATTTGTGTAAGAATACTATGTAACATACACGTATATGAGTATACGAATTTTAGTGATAAGGAACACTAGGAACGAATTTCACTTTTGAGCAACTTCTTAAGAAACTAATGGATAAAACGCCACAACAACTTCGTCTGATCATGGACAATGGGTACTCGAGTCGGCCGCTTTCGAAATCGGCTGCATCCTCTGCTCCGTGGCTTCGCGCAGCGTTTTCAGTAATAAATAGTGTTTGCCGGTATAGTATCTACATAAAATTATCTAAATAATCATCCAGATAAATAAATAGATCATCTTTATTTATATGGAAGAAATATTCATCTTATTTAATTATTTCTGGAAGAAATATTCATCTTCATCTTAAAAACATGTTATCTCATCTAAAAATAATCTGAAAGGATGTTATGGTCTATATTCTGAACTCACTTTTCGATAAAATGAATGAAATAATAGGATCTATGCGTCAAGTCCGTATCAAACTATCGACTGTGAAGGCCGATCTGACTGTCGATTACGACTGTCAACTCTTAATGGACCAATTACAATAAACTAGTTACATGACGCTTTACTATGACCCTTCAAGAGTCGACAGTCGTAACCGCTAGTTAGATCGTCCTTCATAGTCAATAATCTGATATGGGCTTTATAGAAGAAAATTGAAATAATGATTGCATTCAGAAAACACAGCGATTAGTGAATAATTAATGATTATTGGTCTTTTTTTATTAGACTTAAATTTAGAACAATTACGTTGACGAATTACTTAACCGTTGTGCAATTTTATGTGTGATCTGCGTAATTTTTATTATAAATATTTATAAGGTCTCTGATGAAAACAATATCATCTAGAAAATTATCTAGATAAGTGGCGCCACTTATCTTTTATTTAGATAAATTAAAAGCAAAATCATCTTCACCTATTCTGAGATGAATTTCTCGGATTTTCATCTCATCTTCATCTAGATGAATCTGAAATCATGTAAGGCAAACACTAGTAATAAGATTTGACATCTGATTACATCAAATTACTTTTAAAACACGGACACAGAGGCACTTTTCAATTGTGAGTGAACGAGAGAAATGTCTTCGCATAGTTTTCATAAAAATCGATATGCGCCGGCTTTTGCAAGTCCACGGAAAAGAATCGAGGATCGCCGCGCGGAGGCGTCGAGACAAATCGCCGAGTCTGGGCGAGAGCGGGCCGTCGATCGATCGTGATCGACAGGTCCTCCGTTTTCGCACCGTTCCGCGGCGAAGGGTTCCGCCGGTCTCGAAAGCCCAGATGGAATGACACACTTACAAATTACACACCGGAAGACGCGCTTTCCGCGAGATTATTATTCATGCATTCGTGTGGCGCTCGCAAATACAAATGCCTCCCGATCCACGCGCGGACGAAGTGCGGTTAACCGCTTAACGCACGGCAACAACGGGTGCGTTCAGCAGACACAACTGTTGTACAATTGTTGGGTGAGTGCTTGCTGAACGTAATCCGCTCAATTACCGCTACTCAACATATTTAAGGAGCGCACGCCATTTTTTTCCATCAAAATCAAATAAAAGTAAGTTCTGAAAATGCCAGTGTAAAAGTGTTAAATATACAATTGATCTAATTTATCTAATTCTGTTAACGGTCCCATTAATTCATCTAGCATAAGGTGTAATGCGTTACTCCGAATCGTTTTTGCCACCATCCATAGCAAATAAAGCTATAATATCCAAATCATCCATTGTAGATTGTCAAAGACGATTCAATTCGATTTCAATTTCTTTGACAATTTGATAATATTTCCACCTTTAATAATAGTAAATACACTGAGAGGTTATATTTATATTAGACAATGTAATATCACGTGACACGCTATGCACTCTGTAGTTCAAATCCGTTTAGCAGACACAGTCTGTGTCATTAAACGCTTGTTGATCACTCGTTCAACCGTTTTGCAACTGTTGTATTCTGTTGAATACGCCCAATGTGCACAGCAAATACGAGTCGAAATTTCGCCGTAAATGTTAAACTTTTAATTTTACAACCCAGTAGGAGCTAAGACGGCAAAATAGGTGCGATTCTAACGATACAATTTTATTCCACGTTAATCATAATACATGACGTTTTGAATTTCCGTTTCCGCTGTTTTTTTGCTTCAGAATATGTTATTATGGATAACTCGTATGAATTTAATAATTGAAGTACCGAGAGCATTTCTGGTTTCGTAGAAGCATTGAAATTAAATCAAAGGTGGAATTAAAGATTTGAAAGAGAAGATAACATGCGTAGTCAAAGTAAGTTTTTACCGCACACGAACTGAGACCAAAAATATCTAAAAAATGTTTATTTTCGATGGTACAAACCGCATAGAAATTTCTCAGAATTTTCTCAGATATAACATATATTTAGATTAAAATATTTAGATTGAAATATCTAGATTTAAAATATTTATTAAAATATTTATAAAATATTTAGATTAAAATAATTTAAGTTGTCTTAAAATAGGTTATCCCACTGCGAGACCAATTGAAAATAAAAATAAAGGCTTTTTTCTGCAGTACTAATTAATCACTGCGTCGTGTTGTGTGCGACTGTCATCGCTAAAGTTGAGTGACAGTTTGATCGAATAATAAATTAGGAGATTGTAAACGAGATTTTATTTTTAATGTTATTATAAGATATTCAATAATACTCGCGTATCATGTGTATGCATTTGTAAAATGCGAATGCTTAAAACGCTTAAAATATTTCGCATATTTAGTTCACTCATAGTGTGAAGTGAAAAGCAGAAAGAATTTTTTGGAAAACGTTGGGGTATGACAAAATAGGATCTCCGTTTATATTTCCCATCGTTAGAATCGTATGTTTCATATCACATTTCTAACCAGAACTCGCGTAAATATCCCAATTGAAGTCCATTATTATTTTCGGAAATCAGACTGGAACTTCTGTTATATCCCAAGAAATGTTCTATGCGGGAAATTATCATTTATATGTTTAAATATTATTATTATCATTATTATATTTATGCTTAAATATAAATTATTTTATTTAAATAGAATAAATAAAAGCTTTCGTGAAAAGCTACAGATTTGAGAAAATGTATATTATCTTACTTTAAGAAAATTGTTTCTCAGTGTGAAAATATCAGTGTTAATAAATATGTTGTTAATACTTATCAAATAAATTTGGTTTTATTCTTTAGATACTTTTTTCTCTCACAATGTAATCTAAGGAATGTCCGAATAGACCCAAACTATCCTCGAGAACGTTCAAATAGCGTCAGAATTGCGACGCGGGACGAGTTTCGTGAGATCTTGAATTAACCGGCCGTGATTCTCCGCGCGTGGAATATACAAGAGCGAGTGAATGCGGGTAACAACAAACGCTTGCGTCGTAAAATCTTTATATAAAAAAGCTAAGCTACGCGATGTTTGTGTGCGGCAATTCGATTTCGGTAGAATATATACACGAATAACGTCGCGCGACGCGTTAATCCTTTGAAGCACACATTTTTCCACCTGCTTATTTTTCATCAAATTTGGTACCCGAGGGTTTCTGGGGTCGATAATCACGAACCTGAGATCAACATTGAAAAGTTGTTTAAATTTAAGATGGCGGATCCAATATGGAGGATCGAAATTGCAGCGAATCAACCGAATCACTTCAAATTTAGTATTCATGAATAATGCATGAGTTTTTTATTTAGAAATTCAATATAAGCAAGATTTTGTCTATGCTGTAGATTATATAATTTCAATGCCTCTAATTCGTTTTTGCAATATCGCATTTCATAATTTGTACTTGGAAGCTTTGAAAGCCATAGACACTGAGTTTTTGTATATTTCCACTATTTTGTATTCAACATTTCATCTTCTGTAATTTTTCAATTTCGACCCCAGATTCTTAATCAACGACCCGAAAACCCCCTATATACCACGTATGACGAGAATTGCTTGATTTGCTGCAATTTCAGTCCGCTATATCGGACCGCTATCATTGATTTTGAAAATCTTCTAATTCTGACGTCAGATTCGTAATCAGTGACCTCAAAAACCCCATATATAAGTTATGACACTTAAATTTTGTAAAGATCGCTGGAAAATGTATTTTCCCTGCAAAAAACAGACACTTTTCTTAATTTGGTTATTTATAACACTTTTGCAGTTAACAAAATGTGTATTTTAACAATTTTTTTACATTCATCTATCCCTAAGATACCAGAAAGATAAAAAAAAACAGTTCAAATATAGCAATAAAAATTTTATCGACAACAATCTCAAAGAAGAAAAGTGGGAAGTATATTTTCCATCGTGCTTCAAAGGATAAAGCTACATCGACGTTATCTCTGAAAAAAGTTCCTGGCTCTTCTTTTCGGGAGAGTATATAAAATACGAACTAATCTCGGTAACTAGCTCGATTAGGACGAGTCCCGTCCGTTATGTACACGATCCTGCTACCTCGCGATCGATCCGCGAATTGTTCCCGGCGGCTTCACTTTCATGCGGAGGTTCTCCCGTCGGGCTTCGCGCCGCGGATGGGGACGCCTCGTCTTACGCTCGCCAACGCGTTAAACGCGCAGACGCGGGTAAGCGTGGTCGAATTTGAACGGCGAGACGAGACGAGGCCTTGTCGAGAGAGGAGCGACCGACTCTTCATTCGGTCGGAAGAAGGTCACTTTCGGTGGAAGGCACGTTCGGTACTGCAAATCCAAGTGTGTAATTTTTAGACACTCATGCGTGCAGTCATTTTTTGCATGCATTTTTACGCGTGATATTTTGCTACACGTTTCATCTATGTTTCTTTATACAGTTAAATACGTACATTTTATACGTTTATATATATATACGAGTATATATAAAATTGGACATTTAAAACGTGTGATTTGTGTGTAAGGATTTCACATTTCCTATCCCCTTTCACCTTTTTAAAAAAGTCTTTCTACGTCTCTCTACGTAGATCTCTTTTTCAAATGAATTTGAATCAACCGCATGAAAACAAACTTGGATTTGCAGCATGGTTTTCTCCCTCTACCGCGCGAGCCGAGAGCCCCGTCGATTGTGCGAGATCGAACGCGAGGATCGATCCTCCTCCCGTCGACACTCTTCACGTCTCAGTGTGAGCGTGCGATGACGACGAGAATTGATGACAATTCTGTGTTCTCGACTCGAGCGTTCTTGCTCTTTCATAAATTATTATTATACATTAATATGTACAACACACGCGCCTGCCGAGCATGATCGTTACGGTATGCGGCGTTTTCCGCATGCAATCAGGACTTGGAAGGATCGCCGATTGCCGGTTTTGGTTGGCCGCTGTGCCTCTCCCACGCGTTAATCCTCTTGAGCGGATAACAAATCACCGCCGACAAAAGTATGAGGCTGCCTGACAGGTAGAACGACGCGTCGTAGCTGCCGGTCGCGTCCATAAACGCACCTGCGCGGCAAAGTCACGGCAAAGTCATCGTTTAGCAAATTCATCGTTTAGCAAATTCATCGTGATCGATATTTTCTAATTACCTGCGAGAGGCGCACCCATAGCCGCCGCCACGCCTTGAAACAGAAGCAGCAGTCCGAAGGCGTTCGTCAGCTTCTCCAAGCCCAGCAAATCCACCACGAGGATCGATCTCAGAGACGCGAACACGGCTGTGTGTGTGTGTAAAAAAATGGAAAAAAAGAAAAATTATGTACATATTTGTCGTATTCTCCGAAGCAAGCTGATAAATTAGCCGGGGGACTATCTAACATGAGGAATCTAACGCGAAAATATCCCCTGTAAGCGCATAATATTATTTAATATTAAGTAATATTCTAAGCATATTTTTAGAATATTAGAATTGATATTCTAACAATATTCTAGAAACATTATTTAATATTAACTAATGTTTCTGGAGTATTAATAGATGGTTACATGTCTACTCCTAATAATATTAAGAAAATAATATTATTTAATGTTATTGTAATATTATATATTTTTTTGAAATATTCAACACTACGTATATATATAATTTTAGTATTTTATTTCAAATGTATTGCAATACCAATTATTTTATTATATAAATAAAATCGGAAGAATTTAGTGCAAAAATGCATTTTATATTAAAACAAAATTATACATACACACACATATATATATATTATATATATATATATATATATATATATATAATGTATATGTATATTTTATTTATGTATATTTTTCTATATTAGTATTATTTTATATTTTTTTCTTATTCTAAGAACATTTGTATAATATGCCAAGAATATTATGTAAAGTGGACATATAATATCAACAGAACATTCCTACAACATATTACATAACATTCTTAGAATATTATAGGAATATTATTTTAATATTGAATAATATTCATACAATATTCTAGGAATATTACGCGCTTATAGCGTTGTAAAGTGGGTCGACACGATAAGTCGCGTCGGGAGCGAAAGAGACTTACGACAGGAATTTAAGGGGCTATCGTTCGCTACTGTATAATCTCCACTTACATATGCTGAGGCCGAAGCCGGCCGCATAGAAGAATTGATATCCTTCCGTAAGGGAAAACCCGGAGAATATTGTGAGCAAACCGCCGACACTGATAAACACGTTGTTCACGACCAAGGCGTTCACCCCGGGCAGGCTGCTCGCTAAACCACAGACGATACGACCGACGGTGTTGCCGATGCCGATTACCGAAACGAGGAACATCGCCGTCGAGGCGTCGATGTTAGCTTTTATGGCGCGATCTGCAAAGAATATATGAATATTTGTTGTCAAAAGCGCGCGGATCAAAGCGATATGGGGTTCGCTCGAGGGGTATCCATCGTTTTTCATGATAAAATGATAAGAATCCGCCATCAGTCGAGTGACTGTGTATTGTGGATTTAATTTTATCTGCATCGTACATCCTTAACACTCAGAGAAATGATTTCGTAATAGCAGCGAAATCTCATTAGCTAGTTCGAACTTTGCTATCATTGTTAAAAGCTGGTTGTTAGAGATAAAATGTATTTGCTGCAAGGTAGAATTTTATTAGTTGAAATTGTTGCCATGAGAGGCTAAGTTTGATTACTTAGCTGTTTGTTCTTTCTATCTCTCTTTCTTTCTTTCTTTGGTCATATTATATATGTATACACAATACAAAATACCTTTGTATCTATGGACAAAGGTGGTGTACTACACAGAGAAAAATATTAATAAAATGTTAATAGAAAATATTCTAAACAAAAAAATATATATATATATATATATGTGTATAAATAAATAAATAAATAAATATATATATATATATATATATATTTTTTTTTTTTTTTTATTTTGAATGAATTCGATGTTCATAATGAATTTATAATATATTCGCTGATATATAAACTTATGAAATACTTGAAATAAGTAATATTTATTTGAAAATGTAGTATGTATTTTTTATATCTATTTTTGCATACCTAAAGTGATTGACTTACAATCCAAAAATCTTTCGAGTTCGAGTCTATCAGTTTACCTTAATCGTGTTTTTCAGATACAATATAGCATTAAATGAAGTAAAATTGCTCAATTTCGGGCAAAATCAATATAATTTAAGGACAGTTTCTTACAAAAAAATCAATAAAATAAAATTTCTGGTCGGGAATGTGAATATGATTTTAGCATTATTGTGCAACTTAGCTAATATTTTTCGCTGTTATTAAATTTGTGTCTAAATTCGTTAATAAATTTGGCACCGACATTAGTTGTGTTTACTTCAAAGACACATTTCAGCTACCACATCTAGATGTTAACTTCTGTGGCTAATTTCTTCTCTGAGCGAATCTTTGTATTGCACCAGGAGAATTGAGACGGGTAAAAAATTGGGCCATTCAGGGAAATGTTTTGCTGGTCCAGCTAGAATTCTAAATCAGTCACAGGTAAAATATATTGCTATTTTTGTATTTATTAGAAAATTGTTTGTGGTACGTATAATTTACAGTAGCAACATTCTAGCGATATGTGCGAAAAAATTTAGGTCCTGTTACTAATTTTTAATAAAAAATGTGAGTGGCCTTGACACAGATGGGCTCCACAGAGAGATTTTCTTGCTAAATTAGACAAATAGTTCAGATAAAAATTCCGTCTCAGTAGCCTATATTGATTAGATACAACACATGTGACATTGAAGTGTTTGCTAGATATTTATCCGTCTCAGCTAATTCCTCGTATTTAGATAATTTTTGTTATGACTGCGAAACTATTTTTTTGAGTGATAGGTTCAGATGGCGGACCCCGAAGATTCCCTGGAAAAAATCGCTAGAGATGGTCGATACAATTCGAATATATCGATACATATCATAGACGGAAGTATTGATATACAATATGTATCGAATGTCTTGCATCGATATCATGAATATCGATACTTGAATTGCATAAAAATATTGGATTAAAAGCAAGACTGGAAAAGTTACTATTGAAAAATAACGTCGTAACGAAATCACTGACAAACTAACTTATAACGGTAATGGCGTTATAAGTAACGCCATATTTTTTACAAGTAACTCTGATTAAAAGTATTTAAGCTATATAGATTATACGAATGTAATAATGTAATAATGTGAATGGAATATATTTATAATAAAGTTTAAACAATTATGCCAAAATTATTTTCTAAATAAAAAAAAATTGTTTTTTAATTATTTTTTAAATGAATTATATTACTTTATACATTATGAGAGACGTATAATAATTGATAATTACAAATGCCAATCTCGGAACGTACTTCATTCTGAAAAGGTGAACTGTTAACGAAATGTTTACGAAACGTCGGAAATAAATTTATGAGAAACGCGGCGCTAATTCAGAATGCCAAATCAAATATTAATTTATAAATACCAATCGCTGAAATTGAGGGATTATAAAAATAATTGATTTTAGGTGATCGCTCTTCAACTTAATTCATTCTTCGGCCATTATCTTATCTGCTTTACAAAGTAGTCTTTCGGAAGGAACTAAAGTCACAATTAATAACTAATACTTAATTGCTAAAGCTTTTAGATAAATCATCAGGAAACAGTCAAATCGGAAAAATAGTCGCCACCACAGTCGGCCAGCATAGCTGTATCGGAAAGTTTAATATTTAAGGCTCGTATATCGATATGTGAACATTTCAAATGGCAAAACATCGATACAAAATATCGATTTTTTGGCGTTGATTAAAATATCGATACTGTATCGCTCATCTCTAGTGTTCGCATCCCAAAAAGACTTTTACGGGGAAACATATTATAGTGATCAGCCGACGACACGTACCCGGCACATACATGAAGGGCGTATAAAAGCCCATCATGGTGAGCCCGCCGGAGATGGCGAGTACCAAGAAGGACGGGCTCTTCAGCAGGCTAAGGTCGAGCATGGTAGTCAGAATACGACGCACGCTTTCGGGGCACAGGTAGCAACTTCCGCTCTCCTCCTCCGCCACGTCCGTTGCCGTTGGCAGCCGCGTCACCGACATGTGATAACCGACCGACGATTGCTGCGAAAACACAATCTCGCGATATCTTAAGTAGAACAGTTTATCTGCCATCCGGCTGGCAACATTAGACTCGTCGAGCCAGAATTAGCGAGGATATTCGGTCGACCTTCGATAGTCGTCGAATTTATTCCTTATTTTCGCAAAATTAACTTGACTCGTTTTCTTCTCTCTTTTATAATCGGCACATTTATAATTGCAACAGACAAAATTGCTGTGTACGCACGGAAAAAGATTAATATTAATTCAAGACTTATATTTTCTTATATATAAGAAGATATAATCTTACGTGTAGAAAATATTGCTCCCACATGAAGAAATTCTATATAGTTTCAGTAAAAAATTCATATTCCTATTATTCAAAAATAATTTTTATGAAAGAGTAATAAATATTAGAAAGAACGATATTATTAAACAGATACAATTCTTAATTTACAAATATCGTTTTTTCTATCTGACATTTTTTTTCCTCTCAATCGTGAAAATTGTTCGTGAATAACGTGAATATATTTCAAGTAGAACTATAGAATATAGAATTTCATCATGTATGTGTAAGAGCAAGTTTTATCCTTATGCAAGATTATATATTCTCGCTTGTGTATATGAGAATATGACTTTTGAGTTGATATTAATTTGTTTTCTGCGTGACTTCTTCATTCTCCGTCGGAAACATTCGCGGACTAGAAGTTACCTGCGATTTGTAGTGAGGCAGTCTGTTTAAAGAGCCGCCGTAAAAGATGTCGTCTCTGTAAAACGGTCTCTGCGGATCTCTATTCGGTTGATTTCGTCTGCCCGATCTGAGAGACTTTTGACTGCACTCCGAATCCGTTCGCAGACGTCTGCCGCTTATCGTGTGTCGACGGGTCTGAAAAATTGATCGAAATGCATTAAGGTGCACGAGTTGTGTAATATCGTTGCACTGTAAGTCGCTTATTATTCACGAGAAATATCAGTCGCCGAAAAAAATGTAAATTAACAACTAATCATGAAATCTTGCGACAATAACGCACAAGTATCCATTATTTTATAAACGTGTAATATTCCTAAAATATTATATATATATATTATTCAATATTAAAATAATATTCTTATAATATTCTAAGAATGTTATGTAATTTTTTTAAATAATATAGGAGTGTTCCATTGATGTTATATGTTCACTTCACGTAATATTCTTGGCATATTATAAAAATGTTCTTGGAATATTAAAAAAAAAAAATAATAATATAGAAAAATATATATAAATAAAACACACACACATGCACGCACGCACGCACATACATATATATGTATGTATGTATATTTTATATATATATATATATATATTTCTATATTTTTTTTGGAATATTAAAAAAAAATAATAATATAAAAA